TTTTGTGTTAGAAGTACCATTTAATGGATTATGTACCTAATCCTTGTTCCTACTAGTTACTAAAATGTAATTCATGCTTTTCACTAAAATGTTTGTATCAAATACCTTCCTATTTAGATTGATTTCTTTTAATATCATATATTATTATACTATATGCCCCAGAGATTGGAACAAAATACTCCTGCAAATAACACATAAAAGATGAGGGTGAGGGGGAATAACATGCATACTATAAGATGTTTTGCTTTTTAGAATTCAAATTACCATTCTATTTCTTTAAATGTATTTTTCCTTCTTAGTTGCAGCAAGAATTATTTGCCATTTTCTTTCTCTTTTTAGAGCTCTTGGTTTTAAAACGTGTATAATGATAATACATATATGTATATTGCATTAAACAACTTTTTCTCCAAGAATACAGAAGTCTTTTCTTTCCTGGAAAACTAGTTGTGTTAAATGGACCCAGCTTTGTCACAGTGCAGACCCTCTAAGAATTCTCATTTTATGTGCATGAGGCTTGTAGGTACAATAAATTCATTCCTGAAAGGTTACTTTCCTAACTCAATTAAAATCCTTGTGCACCCCTTCTCCATTAAAATGTTAGAAGTGAACTGACGTGAATTAACTGTTCTAAAAAGAGTAGAGTGGAAATCAGAGATTGAGTTTGGTTGGAAATTAGCAGCTGAGAGATGAAGGTGCCAGGATTTTTATTTAAATGTGGTACAACAAGATTCTGTCAGTAAAGCACATCATTAGAATATTGAGTTTAGAACTGCTAAGTTTTCCTTTAAAATGAGCATACAGTCATGTATTTCATGGACCATAATAAATTGCCATTGTATTGTCACTGAGCTTGTTTTCCTTTTTATTTTTTTCAATACTAGTTTGGTAGTCACTCTGTACTTTCTCTCCTTGTTCCCCCACTCTTAGATTTCTTTAATAGATCCCTAACCAAAACCAATCCAAAGAATGTTATTTATTTCATCCAGTGTAGGTTTAGTATCTTTGCACCATTTTCTTGCTTACGGTAGCAAGACATTTACAGATGGCTCTTGGTTACTATAAAGTACATAACAGTATTTCCTTTGTGGCAGATGGATTTAAGACTTTTAGTTCTCAATAAATGTAGGTTTACAATACATAACTTTACAGGATTTGTGTTGTATATAACAGGTTTGAACATATTATCTCAGAATTCATCTGCATGGCATTTTCAGCTTATTCAGGGTCCATGCCAGTTTTTTGGTTTTTTGTTGTGTGTGGTTTTTTTTTTTTTTTTTTTTTTTAAGTATTAGGGGGAGCGCTGTGATTGATAGCAACAGCTCAAGGCGTGATTTTGAATAGAAACAAAAGGTTTAGAACAGAAGGTGTCAAATTAAACTTTGTCAGTTTGAAAAGTAGTAACATCCTGAAAGTTTTACTAATTTATTTACATGTGGCTACTGTTTATATTTTGCCCTCTTTATATGCAGTGTAATGTTGCTTGGCAAATTTACTATGTTTAAAGTTTAGGTTGTTCCTTGTACCATTTTAGTTTTCTGAGAATGGATCAGTCTCATTATTTTAAGATTGGAAGTCCTTGAAGTCCTTGTCTTTTCTACTGTTCTAAAAAGTTGTGATCTAATTTAATTTTGAAAGTAGTTCTGCACTCTTTGCATATGGTTTAATAATATTTCACATTCCAGAGATCTTTCCTAAAAACATAATTCTATTTCACGGTTTTTAACAAAGTGCTGCTTTTTGTTCCACATCTCACTTCTCCCAAGTAAATGTATATCTTTATCATTTAAAAATCATTGCTTTATTTTGGAGATTGTGATTATTGTTAAATATTGCAAGTATTCTGACCTATTCGTTTTTTTCCCCTCAAGTTTGTTTTCTCTAACTAACTATAGCTCTTACAAAAATGGTCTTAAAAAAGGTATTAGGGATTTATCAGACATTTGGTTTCTCTAGTTGCTTTCTGTAAAACATAGATCAGATTACTGTCATCATTAATAGAGTCTCAATTGATAGAATTTTAAATAGTCAAAATATTCCAAGGTATTTAAATAGCACTCGAATAAATTATTCTTATTTTTGCCATTGTAAATTGGGAATGAGCCAATTTATTTCTCTGCCGACAAAGAACTAGAGTGTCAAAATGTCTGTTTTCCATTATTTTTTAAGAGATATGCACATCAAGAAAAGCACACACTCCCCCCCCCCCTTTTTTTTTTTTGGAATACCCTGCTAGAACTAACAGTTCCCAGCTGCACCATTAAATATTTTTCTAAGAAGCATCTGATTTCAGTCTCTTAAAAATCATCGTGTATCTTGAAAGGCTAGCGGAGACATGCTTCAACTTATAATTCATCAAATTATTTTTAGATAAGGAATTAGAAGTATTATTTCAGGGCAGAGGTTAATAGCAAACTACTGGAAATGTTATGTTAGTCATGGGCAATTAATAAAAATAAGGATCTGTCTCAAAAGTATAGAGACACAGAACTGACAATATGAGCAAAATATTTGTTGAATGAGTCAGGGTTCTTTTTCTGAAATATTTGTTAAACCAGCATGAGTGTGATTATTTAGGAATTAGCTATCATTATTAGCCATTTTAAAAGAACTAATGATTTTCGTTTCCAAAGAACATCTGTGATCCACATGGTTTTTTCACATATATCCAAGTGCTAACTGATCTCTTCGTTACTTTTTAAAGTTTCTAAAGGATTTGAAAAGTCATTGGGATTTTCAGTTCTCTCTAAGACACATTCCATATATGAATCGTTAATTTAGCTTTCAGCAATTTTGGTTACAAGCATTTTTTCTAAAAAAATAACAAACTTAGTCAATGTTATCACCTATTGCTATAGAATACTTGGTTGTTGTTAAGTGCCATGGCGTGCATTCCAAGTCATAACAACCCTGTATAGGATTTCCAAGGAGCTGCTGGTGGGATTGAACTGCCAACCTTGCAGTTAGCAGTTCAGTGTTTATCCTACAGCACCTCACCAGGGCCCAGTAGAATACTAGTTAGAGTAAACAAAACAAAGCAAAATCTTTTAATTCTGCTCTTTATGAACCTCCTAAAACATCTCTTGAAAGGTAAATAAAATTGAAGGGATTTGCTGTGTTCAAATCCTGTGAATTGCCCAAGCTAAAGAATAGAGACGAGGGATGGGGGCGAGAAAGCACTTTAACCACAGTTAATATTCAAGCTTACAAGAAGATTTATATGTAAAAGCTGTAGAGCAACAAAACCTAAAGGTAAAGTATAAAGAAATAGCTTACATGTAGGAAAATATAAAATATTTTCATGACTTATTTCAGATAGAAATAGTTACCATTTAGTACTAAATAAACAGTACCAAGATATCATATGCAAGTGGGTCTCAAATACTTCCCCGGATGTTCAGTTCTGTGGCTTACATGCATGGAGCTGAAATATATGTTAGTCACATAATCTGAAAATAAGCATAGATTTGTCATGGTTAAAAGAAGCATGTTCAGTGACCTTGTAATCCTGACTATTTTATTGTTGTTGTCATTTAATAATATTCTTTCAAGTAAATTGTCAAATTACTGCCTCTTCTCTTAGCTTAAATGATACAGGATTAGCCAGTGTATAGCTATTTAAGTAAGGGGCCCTCTTGAGTAGAACATCAAACGTTCCTTAGAAGCATGATCAGAGGTTTAGCATAAGTCACCTTAGCTGGCTTCGAAGAATTTTCTAATGATCCAGTTTGAAAAGAATGGACAGGAAGTCATAGCATTCTCTGATCTCACCCAAAGTTAAATTTGAAAAATCCTTTCTTGACTAATCGTAAAAATCAGATAATAAGAAAACTATACTGTTTGCACTTCCTTCCAACTAATCTACTTGGAATTGTGTCTTAGGTTGAGTTCCCTAAAAAGGAGTGTAAGATTGGAAATCAGGTACCTGTAATTCGGTGTGAAGTCCCTGAAGAGAGGAGCAAGGGAGAATCGGGCAGGGGAAGAGGTCTGGTAATAATACTGTCTCAGGTGAAGTCTAGTTGTGGACTAGGGGAAAGAGAAAGAAGGAGTAGATTATAATGTCCCTTTAAGATAAGGGGCTCGGAACTTTACTGCCAACCCTGTGGTGAGGGAATTAGTGAGGAGGTGGAGTAACCTCCAAAGCATTTCCAGGTGAGATGGCTTCAAAACAGTTTTCCAGAGAGTTATAAGTAGCTCAGCAGCTGAGAGATGGAAGCTGGTGAAGAAAATCAAGTGGAACATCCTCATTTTTCCTTATCTCCGTTTCCTTAATGTCCATCATGGCAGTCAAGGTGAAGAAGATTTAAGGTGGCAATTAGAAAGTGTACTCTGCTGGATTTTTCAGGACCCAAAACTGGGTCTCTGGAGGAGTCAGAGATTCAGGATTTTAATTATTAAAATTGTTGCCTGACATATCCTATGTGCACACTGCAGTAGGCAGTTTCTTGGATAGGTCTTCTAATTCCCATTCTAATCAATATGTCTTACCTTGGACAACATTTTTGTTCACACAGTTGTACTTGTTCTTTCTTCTCTGTTTTTCACATGCATGCACACACACACACACAACACACACACACTCTCAAATATATTTTCCTTTCTAATATATAAATTAAGCTTAGGAAATCCTTCTACAAACATATTTCTAAAATCTGCCCTGTTCTTTTAAAAATAATTTCAGTGTCCTAAAATGGCCACTCGTCAAAAAAGACTAGAAACATATTCAAGTTTGCTTTCATCCTCTGATTCCACGTAATCCAAAGTCTGTGATAAATACTCTACTGGTCTTGGAGTCTGAAAAATAACATCCCTCTTTAAGGTAGAACTCTGAACATTTATTAGAAACAGAGCCTGTCTCCCTGATAGCCCCAAGTGTCTTCTTTTAACAGGTAAAAAAATGTTTAAACAGATTGGAGTGTTTTGAGCTTATGAAAACTATTGGAAAATGCTACCCTTAATAGGCAGGCATGAACTGACCTGTTGTGTATGCCTTTGTCTCTTAGGGATGGTTATGTGAGCTGTTACGCTGGAAGGAAGATCCTTCTCCAGAAAACAGGACCTTGTGGGAGAACCTCTCCATGATCCGAAGGTTCCTTAGTCTTCCTCAGCCAGAACGTGATGCCATATATGAACAGGAGAGCAATGCAGTGTATCATCATGGTGATAGGCCACCCCACATCATCCATGTTCCAGCAGAGCAGATTCAGGTTCGTTTACCTTGGCCAATTCAATATAACACTAAGTAAATAAAGCTTTAAACTTAGAAATGAGTGTTGCTCTTCTTCCCGCCAGTCTAAACAGAGGCTTGTTAGCAAGAGACAATAATCCCCTGTCATTTTTCTCAGGAGGAAATCTAACACACTTTGTCAGTGTGTGTATCCCCACCCACAAAATGGCATGAACCTTTTTTTTTTTGCACTTCTTGTTTAGCAAGGGTGCCTTTGTTAGTATGGAATTGTTTTTGTGTGTGAAAACTTTGTTTTCTTCTTCTTTTTTTTAATCAGAATTAAAACACCATCTATTTTTAAATGAATACTATCCTACCCCTGAGAAAAGGAATGACGGTTTCTGTAGAGGAATTTGGTTAGAATCACACTTTTTATACTTTGGATTCTGTCCAAAAAGAGATGGGGAGGGAAACCTGCTGGGAATCTGTTTCCTAGTGGCTTGGCCTTTTACTTTGTCTCCCCACAGCCTCCCAGAACACAGGTTAGGGGTGAGTCATGTCTGTTTGTCTTTCCTTTAGAGCCCCTCTCCCACCACCCTTGGGAAAGGAGAGTCTAGAGGAGTTTTCTTACCAGGCCTGCCGACCCCTGCACCATGGCTCGGTGCTGCTCCTCAGGTGAGCGGGCACAAGTTACCTATGCCAAGAAGACAGGAAGACAGGGGGTGGCTTCAAAACCTGCTCTGCTCCCTCAGTCAGGGTTTACATACTTGCAGAGGACATAACTAATCATGGCTGTGGCCAAAGACCACTGTGCCAGCAATTTCTACCTTATGCTTAGCTTGTCATGCTCCACTCATCTACCCAGGGAGCTCTCCAATAAATTTAAATTGGAAAGTTCTGGGATCAGGTAATTTGTTGGTGTTCTTATGACCTTACTTGCTTAGGAAGTATATTGTAATTGAATTTGAGCTATATGAGGAGGCTTCAGAAAGTTCATGGAAAATTCCATTATCTTTTCATTATATTTTTTCACGAAGTTTGTTTGAAGCTCCTTGTATAACTTATTTGTGTTAACTCTATGGGAACATTTGTAGTTTTTAATTCTTTAAGGGTAAATGCCATTGCCTTTCAGAATCCTAAAAGTTTAGTGTTTTTTTGTTGTTGTTTTTTTTCATGCATCACCTACATTACTTCTTGATATTGCTGTGCGGGGGGTGGGGAGCAATATATATATATATATATAGCTAAAAACAATAATAGAGTTACAATCCACCAGGAAAAAAAAAATCCTTGAGTGTGTATTAAAGATAAAGCAAATTGAAAAAGAGAATCCCTTAGGATATCGAGCACTAAAATAATCATGAAAGCCTGAAAAACTTACTGTTTAGCAAAAACAAAAAGAGAAAGATATATGTTAAGTAATAAAAATAGCACTTGTTTGAAAATGTAAATTGTTTTTAATAAAATTGCTTCTTAGGGGGATAAAAGGAAGTGCTTAGGCACAGTATAAACGTTCTAATATTTTGCCACTTACTCAGGTTGCTTTGCTTTGCTGATAAGAATTTGGGATTTAGCGTGAACAGTGTGTGCCTGTGTCCCATTTGTTAAGTATAATTGTGTATGGAAATTACAGCACATACACAGAGTCTAGTTATGAAAAAGTATATACACTAAATTCAAATCCTAATCACTTCTGAGTCTACTGTAGACAAAAAGCAATTTGCTAGCCGGCATGCATCAGGGTTGAACCTTTATTTTTCAGTAAGAAAAAAGTTTGCAGCATCAGCCTAGTGCATTCTGGTAAGAAATTGTGTGTGTGTTAGATTGAAACTGTCTGCTAGAAAAGTGACAAACTTGAGACTCTCAAAATTTCTTTGGATTCAATTGAGAAAATGCTGAATAAGAGCAGACACTTATTCCTTCTGTTTGGAATTTAAATGTGACTTTCTATTCTTGTTCCATGTTTTAGCCATCATGAAATGAGGCAAAATACAAACCTCTTTGCCCACAGTCTTACTGCTCACTGTTGTAAAATGTCTTTGAAATCCACCCTGACTTCTCAGTCTTCCCTGTAAATCTTGATTCATTTTTACATCATGGTCTGCTTTGCTGTCTCTTCTGGTGAAGTTTATGGCTCAGATTTTCAGAAAGCTGAGTTTTCACTTCTGTAAATCCAACTTAAGAATCAAGGCTACATACAGCGAGGTTCCACTGAGCTCTCATAATTAGACACGGGAGCCCCCCCCAAAAGTCACATCAATTCATGACTACCTCTCACTGTTGTTAAGTGCTGTTGAGTCGACATAAACCTTTCTGTTTCATATCATTTGAATTGTTTCCCCTAATGCTGTGGACGATTTTGCTGGCCTGCTCTTTCGTTCTGAATCTTTGTCCCTATGAAAGAAGCTATGTGTGGGATTCCTAACATCATGCTTTCTAGTTGTAGATGGCTCCGTGTAGAGCTATGAGAAGGCAGAACTCTGACTGTCTGCTTGTTTCTTTTTAGCAGCAGCAGCAACAACAACAACAACAGCAGCAGCAGCAGCAGCAACAGGTACCACCACCTTCACAGCCCCAGCCCCAGCAGCAGGCTGGCCCTCGGCTCCCACCACGGCAACCCACTGTGGCCTCGCCCGCAGAATCTGAGGAGGAGAACCGGCAGAAGACCCGGCCACGAACAAAAATTTCAGTGGAAGCCCTGGGCATCCTCCAAAGTTTCATACAAGATGTAGGCCTGTATCCAGACGAAGAGGCCATCCAGACTCTGTCTGCTCAGCTTGACCTTCCCAAATACACCATCATAAAGTTCTTTCAGAACCAGCGATATTATCTCAAGCATCATGGGAAACTGAATGACAATTCTGGTTTGGAGGTGGATGTTGCTGAGTATAAAGAAGAGGAGTTACTTAAGGGTTTAGAAGAGAGTGTCCAAGATAAAAATGCTAACACGCTTTTTTCGGTGAAATTAGAAGAAGAGCTGTCAGTGGAAGGGAACACAGACATTAACGCTGACTTGAAAGACTGAAATAAAAGTATTATTTTCATTCAACAGTGCCACTGGTATTTACTAACAAAATGAAAAATCCATCTTGTATTCTCTCCGAAAACCTTTGTTGTTCATTGTTTGGCCAATGAATCTTCAGAAACTTGCACAAACAGGAAAGTTAGGAAAGGATAATACAGACTGCACTAAATGGTTTCCGCTATTTTACAAACTGCTTGGCAGCCCCAGGTGAAGCATCAAGGATTGTTTGGTATTAAAATTTGTGTTCTCGGGAGGCACCAAGGTGCGTGTCCCGTAAGCATGATCCCAGTGATTTTTTTTTTTTTTTAATTCTGGAGCCTTCAAACAAGCATTATAACTCCTGTGACTATGATTTCCTTTCCTTTAATTATTTCTGTAACACTCCACACTGATCTTTGGAAACTCGCCCCTTATTTTAAAAAAAAAAGAAAAAAAAAAAAGAGTTTGTTACTCTATTGTATGTTACAAAAGAACTATAGACTGTGGAATGCAGTTTAAAGATGACATATGCCAACAAATGCCTTGTATTATATGGCACTGCCGTAATTCAAATTTGTTTTTATTTTGGAAATAAAAGTTCACTGTAATTTTTTTTTATTCTCATTGTTACATGATTTAAAAAAAAAAAAATGAAAAGAAAATGTGAAACACAATTTAGTCCTCATTATTTATTTGTAAATCCTGCAGCATCAGGTTGTAATTAATTTTTTGGAAGTTTCCGTTAAATGTAATATTGCTTCTCTTGTTACCATACTGATTTGTTTTTTCTATTTATAAATGTATTTTGATGGGCAGTAAAACAAAGTGTCTTAAAAGTTTTAAATAGAGAAAATGTGCTTTACACAGTTGCCTATAAAAAGTGCTCTATGTTATCCAAGCAATTCATACTATAAGCTTCACTCTTATTGTCGTATGCAATTTTTACTATCATGCAAATAAGCTTAGGTAAATAAAACTAATAGATCACCTTAGAAAATTATGCAATTAATGTGAAAATAATTGATGTTTGCAATGTGTCTTCCTTTGGTTTACAATCAATTTTAAAGCTACATCTGTATAAAATTTCTGTATAAAGGTGTATTTCTTTTTTATGAGTTTATGGCTATGAAAACACCAGCTATTTTGTTACAGCTGGCTGTTTTTATAAGTGTATCACAATTTTCTTTATGCAGAAATGTTCTGATTAGGAGTGGTTATTGACTGTAACTACACAATTAAACTTGTTTGTATGGTATGACATGGTAGGGTTTGTCTGGTTATGTGAAGTAATATAAAGAGTCAAAGGATGGCCTTCCCATTTAAGTGCATGTTAATACTTTCTTGATGCCATTTTTTATTGATTTTTTTAAAGAAAATTTGAAAAGTTATCTTGAAACTAAATTTAAGTCACAATCACACACTCGATTGTTATGTTTTAACAGTGGAGATGCTAACCTGATTTGGGTTAAGCTTTTGCTTAGTAAGCAGATACCAGAGTAGACAAAAGACTCCAACAAAAAACAAATCCTGCCTTTGCACTTAAAAATGGATACATGTGCTTTTATTTTAATACTTCAATTGTGTCAACACTTCCTTAAGCTAATTAAGCTTCAAGGCCATTCATAGGAACATAAGTAGGAAAAAAATGAATCTTCTGTATAAAAACTCTCTAGCAAGCAATGATTTTGATTTTACACGTTATAAATATACTGTAGGCTAATAATTCAGAGCTCATTTGGTTATGTATATTATAACTCTTAAGAACTACATAAAGAGTGTAAGAATAACAGACCTGGAATTTAAACACAATTATTTTTCAAAAAGTAATAGCTAATTTTTGTAATATAGAACGTAGTAAACCCCAAGATGTAAAATGAGGTGTGCCAACTCACAGAAAGGATTAATGCCAGTGTTGCAGATTTTTCTTATTATTATTTCCTGGGGTTTTTATATTTAATTTACTTAATCTTTGCTTTTTAAGGTTTCCTGGATCTTGCTTATATAGGGGTATCTGAGATCATCAGTTATCTTTCCACCTAACAGTTCCCTGGACCCCAGTGATCTCATTGGTAGGCGACTGGGCTGCTTTAATGTTGAACTTTTACTTAAGAAATTGAATTGGAAGGATTCAAAGTTCAGTTTTAAAAAGTAGTATTTGTATTTGCTTTTGAAGCCCTGCTGAGCTACTCTGAAGGCAGGTGGTTTGCTTCAAACTTAAAAATTGTATTGAAAAATAAAAATCTTTTTATTAAATGAGAAAATAAAACACTCTTGCTCACTGGAGTTCAGGAAACTCATCATTTGAGCAAGACGATTTTGAATTAAGAAAATAGAAACTAGATCTGTGTAATATGCCATTAAGTTAAAATTAAGTATCTGACTTCTGTTTTTCTCATATTTATGGGAAAAAGGTTAAAGCATAGAATAGATTATTTTTTTCAGTCTGGCAAACACTTAGGTATGAAATTTGCCCTATTTGTTGGGAAATTTAGTAAAAATAAACATTTGGGAGGAGGAATAAGATCTTACTTTTCCCAGTCACTTCTTATTTCACTTTTAATGAATTGGTGAGTGTGTGTGTTATAAATTAACATAACAATGCTAATGAAATTCTCCCTTAAATCCTTGTTTTTTAAGTAAGTATGTGACTACTAATTTGATACTTTAAACCAAAATTGAAAAAGCACATGTTAATAATATGATGATAATGATGATGGGGTGAGTAAAACTTGCTTCCAGGAAAGATGGCACATTGCAGGGAAGATGGAAAAGACGTATTCTGTGATCTTCCGCCAGGCTCCCCATAACAGTTATCCTTCTTGCCAACCCTCCTCTTATTGCCAGTGACTTCAGTGAAACTCCTTTTAACAAGCTTCATTGTGTTCAAGTATTGCAGATACTTTTAAAAGCTGGGCATGATACAGCGCCTTGTGCTGTTAAGACCTTAGGCAGAGTCAGGTAGTTTACGGGTAATATTCAACCTTGTGCGTCTGAATCTGTCATGGATTCCTTCACTCAGCACTTTGCCACTAATTTGTATTACACTCTGTGGCCATATAATACTTGCACATTATGCAAAAAATAGTGTTGATAGTATCTCCTTGGCACACAATATGCAGAGTTGACACATAACCTTCTTTCAAACCCAGGGTAACTAATGAGTGTGCCCTAGTTGGCGTGGCACTGGGTTACAAAGTCTGTACATATTATGTATAAAATGTGTATTGTTTAACATTTAGTTTTAAGGAGTTAATAAGCATAAAAGGTGTTTTTCCCCCCAACTAGTGATATCTACATCAAATTGTACTTAATCTGAAATACGTAGCTTGAGTAGGAAACATTTTCAAATGGTTCACGATTGAGTAAAAAGTACAAATCCTATACAACCCATTACCAAATTCTGCCTTATTCCCTATTGTTAACATCTGGCTGATATTAAAGCCCTTGATTGTCACAAAGTAATATTCTCAATAAATGAGTTATTCTGAACTGCCTGGTGATAGTTTCAAAAAGAGCAATTAAGATGTGTATACACTGTAATCTAGCTGATAGGAACAGGGCGATTAAAGCAATCCAGGGATTTGCATGAGAGAGTGGCAACCAATAGAGGTCCAAAAAGATTAATCATAGCTAAAATATCAGAAAAATATTGATACTATAACTTACAAAAAAATATTTTTGACTTTCTAAAGAGGAATATTATGGACTCAGTGTTACTTCTGAGGCAATCCTTTTCATGTAAATGCTAAATACTTGCATGTCTTTTGACAGGATAAACAACTCTATTAACATGCACATTTTTGATAAAATATAAAGAAATGTGTTGGAAGGTGTATGTCCAGAATACTTGTTTAACAATGCCAAATGTTAAATAAAAATAGTTTGGAATTAACATGTAAAAGATGAGCGGCATTTTTAAGCCTTTCTTACTATATGTGGATTACATACATATTTTTTCAAGTTTAACTTTATGGAAAGAACACTAAAATTCAGTATCAGGTTGTGTATTAAGTCACTTTCTTCTGTCAGTGCTCTTCAGCTGCTTCTACTGTGACCAAAAGCTCATGATTTGAACCCTGTTCTCTGTGAGATAGTTAATGAAGTGGTTACTGATGGACCCCTGTAGAGCAGTATAGTATAGATGTTAATACTCACATAGAAACGCTAAAGTGACTTAGTTTACACCAAGTTAAATGTTGAACATTATTTCTTTTCCCTTAGTTGAACTGGAAGATATTTTCAATGCTATGATGTATGCTTTTACTCTTAAAGCCAAAAGCCCATTGCCAGTGACTCAGTTGACTCAATTCTCTATAAGACAGAGTAGAAAACTGCCTAGAGAGTTTCCACATCTGTAAATCTTGACAGAAGACTGCCACATCTTTCTCCCACGGAGTGAGTGACTGCTGAGTTCAAACCATCCACCTTAGCAGTCTAGTGCTTTAACCACTGTGCCACTAGGGCTCCTTCATACCCTTACGCTGCCTACTAAAAACAAAACAGAAATGGCATGATTGCGCTATCCCGCTTTCCCACTCACAAAGACAGTGCCTGTTACATGAGAATGTTGAGAAAGTTTAAGCATTTCAACGTGTCCATTAATTCACTGAGTTGGTAGTAAAGAGACCACAAAGTGGTAGAACATCTGAATGTGGGGATAGGCTCACCTATGCCTTGGTTTCCTATTTTAATTTTTAAATATCTGTTATGCCAGACCACCTCAAACTACAAAGACAGCATGCCTTCCTGAGGTGCCCTTGCTAGCATCGCTCTCCAACCTGTTTAAAGTGATGCTAACAACAGCATGTGTGTTGCCTGAAGTACCATGGTGGTGATGTCCTGTGGAGTCAGGTCTGACTCAGTGACCCTGCATAGGGTTTTGGAGGCTATACATTTTTATAGGAGCAGAAATCCTCATCTTTCTCCTGAGGAATGGCTGGTAGTTTCAAACTTAGGACCTTGAGGTTAGCAACCCAACTCATAACCACTACGCTACCAGAACTCCTTTAAGTGCCATGGAGTAGGTTCCAGCTCATATTGACCTTGTTTAGGGTTTCTGGGAGTCCTGGTGTGGCGCTGTGGTGATGAAGCACTGGACTAGAAATTCGGTGGTTCAAACTTACCAGCCGCTCCTTGGAAACCCTATGTAGAGTCACTATAAATTGGAACAGACTCCACAGCACTTAACAACAACATAGGGTTTATGAGGAGCAGTTAGTGGATTTGAGCCACCCACTTGGTGATTATCCAACAGCATCACACCAGGACTCCAACACCAGTGTTTACAGAATACTGCATTTTACAAGACAGTGTTACAGACAGTATCTCATTTTAAGCCTCTTAACTCCACTGTTAGGTACTTCAGGCGGGCTGAAATTCCTCACTTCAAAGACAAGGAAAGGGAAATCCAAAGAGGTTCACTGATTTGTTCAGCTGT